AGATTTTCTGCTATTTCGTCATCTAGACGATTACCTGTAAGACGTCTTGGTTTTTTCTCACAAATGACCCTGCTCATGCTGCTCATCCTGCTTGCTGGGCTGTGTATGGGGTTATTTTTATTGCTTTAGGTTTATGGATACTCTGCTGTGACTCATCTACTTTTAAGTCTCTCCAGTGTTTTTCCTTTTAAGATATTTTATTTTTAATTCCTAGAAGTTCCATTTGCTTATTTTTTACTTCTTCAGTCCCTCTCCTAGTGTTTGTTTTCTTATACTTTTTTGAACATATGGCACTTACCTGTGATTGCCAGCTTCAGATTCTTGTCTGTGGGTTGCCTCATTTGTTCCTTTGGGGTCTCTTTCTGTTGATGAGTTTAATTTTCGTGTCTCGGTTCTGTCCCTGGATTGTGGATGTGGGACATGTTGCATACTCAAGTCCTCGATTTTTTTGTTGTATTCTTTAAAACTGTTTGACGTGGACGGAACGTAACTGAAGTTGAGTCTGTGTAAAATGAGTACCGTAAGGGCACATGTTTAAGGGTGTACTTCACAGTCAGCATGGACTCTAGTTTAAAAGGCCTTGTTACAGGAACCCTTAGCTCCCAGGTGCTTGGCTGTGTCCTGTGTGTCAAGCAGCAGCATCGGTGCCAGTGTGCTGCTGTGAGCAGGTTGGAGGGGGTCCTGCTCTTGTGGAACTGACCTTCTACTGATGAAGACAGGTGAAAAAACAAAGAAATGAGAACACCCAGATTTCAAATAGTGGTTTGTGATATAAGAGCTTAACCGGGGGTAGTGAAGGTCTAGAGGTGGATATCTGCACCACTGATTTGAACGGGGACAATTTAACACAAAGGATAATTAGTAACTGGAGATCAAACCCCTCAGGTTGGTTAAGGGCACTGAAGAATACAGGCGTGTAGGTCCAGGGAGCAGCTTCCAGGGAGGACTCCAGGAAGGACACACTTGAGACCCCTCCTTGGAGAGGGTGTGCTTGGGATCCTCTGCATAGCAGGCTGCTGAACAGCAGCAGGCCAGGCTGCTGGCTCACTGGACAGAGTGCAGCACTCAGTCCCCATCTGCCTGTCTGTCAGTGGACCCAGCGGGAGACCCCTTCTTCTTCTGTGACCCTCCAGCACCCTCTGCTGGCAGGGTCAAGCACCCTGCCAGTGGTGAAGGGCTGGGTGTCGTTAGTGGGCTCCCTCAGCACAGCAGGGCCAGGAAGGGTGGTTTTGGAGCCATGAGACAAAAAAGTGAAAACTCCTCCACCAGCCACCGCCACCCCCCATCCCCCAACCCCCGATAGGTGACCCTTTGGCTGAGGTGTGACTGATAGAGGATCCTGTGTCTGTCGGAAGCCTGTAAAGCTTGAGTGGGCACTCCCAGCAAAGAAAACAAGTGCAGTGGAGTGAGAAGTTTGTCCTGGAACCCGGGGAAACTGGAAACAGATCCAGAGTTCATTCTTCAGGGGTGCAGAATTCTGGCTTTGTGCAGGGAGTGGCGTGTCTCACGTGCTTTAAACACACTCTCTGACTGCTGCTTGGAGAGCAATCACGAGTGGGTGAGGTGGAAATAGGGGGACCGGCAGGGCGCCACCCTGTGGCCCAGACAAGGAGTCATGGTGGCTTTGACCACTTACAGCTGGAATGGGGCCCAGAGGGATGGAGGAGGACAGGGGGCTCTCTTCCACAAAGGGTGCTGACCCGCTGCAGCAGGGACCCACCTTGGCTGCCCACTGCCTTCAAACCCACCTGCCTGACCGCCTTTCCCCACCCATCACCTTCCTGGGCCCTTTTGGTCTTAGTTTTCTTATCTTCAGGTGTTCAAATCCAGTTACAGGAAAACCCAACTGTGTCATCTCATTCGAGCTTCTTCCCTCAGCTTTAGTGGGTGACATCAGAAATTGCCATGGTACCTGCCCTGTCTCCTTGTGTCTTCCCAGCTCTTCCTGGGGCACAGGGGGTCCTGGGCAGGAGGACTTGGGGGCCTCCATCCTTTGCCGGACTGTCTGTCGTTCTCTTTGGCGACCAGGGCCCGAGGTCCTAAAAGATGGCCCACAAGGGTGGCTCTTGCTTATAGGAGGCCCCTCTTTAGGTTTCCCTAGACCTCAGCTGAGACTGTGCACTGGACCGTCTGCAGGAGACTCTCTGTGATACCCCCAACCCTGTTCTGCCTCCTGGTATAATTCCGGGGTCTGCTCACCCCACAGAACCTTTTGGATAGGGTTCCTTCCTGACGACATACGCCTCATCCACAGAGCTTGCTAGTACCTGGACGCCCACATGTGGTGGCCAACCCATCCCAGATCATCCACAAAACCAGTCTTCTGCCATCAGACTTTCCAGAGTCAGACATTGGTGTCCCTGTACCCAGACCCCAAGGGCACACAACAGGCCCTTGGAAGAGTTTTCTCACGCTTTGTCCAGGAGCAAACCAGGTGGTCCTACCAGTGTCTGAACAAACCTGAGCCCATGCCCAGCCAGGAAGTGAGGCCCAGGCCCCATCGGGGCACACAGGATGGCTGTACACGCTTTCTCCCTGACCTAGGCTAACAGGAGGAGGGACCAGGCCGTTTTCTTTCCACAGGGAATTCCCTGCAAGAGCCTGTCCTGTGACCCTGTCCTTGTCTTCAGGCTACTGGGGGGATCATCAAGGAGCTGGTGGCTCCCTTAGTGAGCCCGGGGTGGGGGTGCTAGCCCGTTCCTTCACCATATGAGAGCCTGCATCTCTAAGGCTGGAGCCCATGCTCCCAGGTGACAGCATCCTTATCAGGTCCTGCCACTGGGGGACAGGGTGCTGGCATGGGGTAGGGGGATCATGTTCTGAGACAGGAGTACGGCGAGGGGAAAAGGGTTTGTGTGGCCAGGCCTGCCGTGGTGTGTATGCTGTCCGTGTGGCCATCAGAGGAATCTCTTAGGTTTGGCAGGTGCTAGATATATGAGGGTCTGAGGCTGCTTTGCCCTGCCAGCCTTACCCAGAGTGTTCTGTCTCCAGGCTCCTGTTCCCACAGTCAGAGCAGGACATACATCTGGTGGGGCCCCACGGGACAGAGGCCTCGGTCCTGGCCTCCAGCTCAGCTCCGAATGACTACTCGGTCTCCACTGAGGGCCATCTCAGTGACTGTGGGTGTGTCACTTGGAGCTGGTGCCCAGGGTGCTGAGCGTAGAATTGCTCTTTTTTAAAGAATGAAAGAAATTTATTGGCTCCCCTCATGTGCTTATGTACATGTAACCATCCGAAGGTCCAAAAATAATTGGTTCCAAACAAAATTCTGGGGTGTCAGAATGTTTCCTACAAAATGCTGATTAAGATATTTTCTTAATAAGTGTCTGCATTTTAAACTGTTTCTAAAACGCATTTTTCTGAACAGTAATGACCAATTTGTGCCATGCACATTTGAACATAACTAGTCTGTTGTGTTCTCTTTGAAGCAGAGCCAAGACTTTCTTCTTCACTCCTCTCTTGGTGGGTCCCAGCCAGAGGCAGGCAGCAGCGGGAGGCTGGCTCTTGGCGCTCAGACCCTGCCACAAGCCGGGCTGGGTGGCGCTGCCCCCTCGGACGCAGCGTGCGCCTGTGAGAGCTGCAGCGAGCGCAGGTACCGGGTCTGGAGCTGTGGGGGGAGCGGGTATTTCCCTAAGCGTGAGCCCATCCTGAGAGTGGGACGGGGGCCCTGATCTTGTGAGGAGGAGTCAGCTGCATAAGGTGTGGCCCTCTCCCCTGCCAGGGGCACTGGCAGGCCGCATCTGCTGGGGCTGGGGCTGGGGCTGGGGTAGAAGCCCAAGCAGGGAGAGCTGCCTGCCACACCCAGGCGTGGGGTCATTTCTGTCAAGTGAGGAGGGGCTGAGGCCTCCTGGAGACCACGGTGCAGGAGCTGGGCACCCAGACACCCGGGCCGCGCTAGCAGCAGTCCGCCTATCCCCCAGCAGCAGGCGGGAGCACCCTCTGGAGGCTGAGCAGGAGGGTGCCAGGGGAGGGGCAAGCTGGCGCCCTCTGTCCCCTCAGGCCACTGGTTGGGGGTGAGGGACAACGCAGGCTGTTGACTAACCCTGACTTCCTTGCTTACGTGCCGCCCGCCTCATAGAGAGATTGCAGCAGAGCCCGACCGGGAGCCTCAGCAGCTGCAGAACTGTTGGTCAGAAGTGCGCTACATGGTCCGTTGCATTTACCGCCAGGCAGGGACCCCACTGGCAGACGACCAGGACCAGAGTCTCGTGCCCGACAAGGAGGGGGTGAAGGAGCTCGTGGATAGGTAATACTGTCCCTGGGTCCATGTCCTTCCCTTACCTGCTTCCAGGGTCCGGCAGAGCGTGGCTGTGCTTGTCAGCGTTGCAGTCATCTTCAGCAGACAGTCTGGCAGGAGCAGGCCTTGGGGTGGAGTTTCAGGTTCTCATTGTGATAAGATGTGTACTGCCTACATAATAAAAAATGCATCGACGTGCTTCTCATTTACTAGTGTTGAGACTGGCTGGCTGTAGCACTGCCTTTTGGAGACTTGGCCAGGGATGGCGCTAAGCATTTCCTGGAGCACCTGTGCATCTCTCGACCCAGAGGGAAGGCAGGGATTCCGTTACGAAGGGAGGACACAGGCCAGGCGGCAAAAGAAGGGCAAGTAGCCAGGCCGGTCTGTGTGGGCATTTCTCACGGAGCAGCTGCTGACACAACAGACAGCTGTGCCCAGTGACGGCACAGGAAGTGGGCATGTTTTACTCTTAAAGTTTGTAGCATCTTTTTTCTCTTTCTTGAAATGCCCTAAATAAAAGCAGTAAATTTGAGCTAGATGTTTCATGGATCTGTTCTCATTTTGGTTTCCTTTTCTCACTTTTCAAATGCAGCAGCTTTGGGGGTTTTATAAGCTCTTGTCTGCTGTCCAGTCGTTTATCCTGGAGACAGGAGTGGCAGTCAGCATGGGTTGTATTAACTAGCTGATGAATCCAGCTCATCTGTTCAGAGTCTGACCTGGGAACTCTGGTGTTACAGGGGATGGCTGAGGTTATGTTTCCTAGTGAGCATAGGAAAAAATATCAAACCCATGGCTTCACAGCTTAGGAATGTTGAGGAAGAAGCTCAAGTACAATAAAAGACAATTGAAAGAAAAGTTCAGCAAGTCACAGTTACAGATGACATGTCATGGCAGGAGATGAGGACCGTGGTGATGAGGTGGCTCGCTGAGGTCTGGGAAGCAGCACTACTCTAACACTGGAGTGGTTGTTGACTGTGTAAAACCCCCCGTCCCTATCTGAGCTGTGTGTATACTGTGGTACTGTGTTTTTCCTAGTCTAATGAAGTGTTGAACTCAAAGGGGTTCATTCTTTCTGGCGATGGGTTGTGGATGGATATGGTAGCTGTTTCAGTGGCCCTAGGCTTCCATCTGGAGGCTCCCTGGAAGTGCACCGTGGAAAGAGGTGGCCACTTTAACCATAGTAATGCCACACACTGTACAACAGGTTTGTAAAAGTAGGTTACCCCAGGTTGGGAAAGAAATCCATGAAAATGTTCATTGCTGTTGTGGCCTGGTGGGGTGGCATGAAGTATTTTTCCCAACTCTTCAGCTTACAAATTCTATACAGTTTTATTGGGTTTTTTTTTTTTTTCTGGGATAATTTTAAATGAGGTATATACTGTTTTTAGTGTTTCCTCTGATGGTAAGAATAACACAAGCCCATTTGGATTGTGTACTGAATTCCTAGAAAGATCTAGAAAAGAGCAGTCTTCCTAACTTTTTAATAGTCTGGCACTTGAGAACATGTCTCTCAAGCAAGCTGCTGAGAAGCAGGCGTGTCCGCTCTGCCGCCTGCTGGCTGTGCAGGTCCCAGCTGCTTAGCCTGCCTGGGCACGGCAGCATTTGCTCACAGAATTAGCTCAGGATTGCCCGTGTCGGGGCATGAGGAGCGGCCTGTGCAGAATGAATGGGCTGATAGTGCGTATGGACAGTGGGGCTGGTGCAATGTGAGCTCCCAGTAAACGTCAGGTTTTCTGCCAGTTCACTGATGACTTTGGAGAAGTTCTGGATGAGTTCTGGACACACTGCACCTGGGTGTCCCCTTGTCAAGTGGGGGATGGTCCCTCTCCCGGGTTGTTGGGAGATGTGGGGGTGGTTCCTGCTAGTGGGTGCATCTGGGAGGATACTTACCATATAAAAGGGCCCTGTGAGGGCACCCGGGCAGGCAGGGCAAGTTGTGATGCTGTCTTTCCTGTACAGGCTGTGCGAGCGGGACCCCTACCAGCTGTACCAGCGGTTGGAGCAGCAAGCCAGAGAGTATGTGCTGGAGATGAAGGTTCGCCTCCTGCGGCAGTTGTCGGCTGCGTCCAAAGTGCGAACGCCGGCCGCTCTGCAGGGCCCTCCGCAGGCACACCAGTTCATCTCGCTCCTCCTTGAGGAGTACGGTGCCCTGTGCCAGGCAGCCCGCACCATCAGCACCTTCCTGGGCACTCTGGTGAGACAGCGGGCAGCCTTCCTTGGGCTTTGTGGAGCCCCACATGGTGGGTGCAGGTGGGACCTGGCACAGACCCGCCTGTCCTCGGGGTGTTGGGGCAGTGGAGGGACCCAGTTCCTCCTTGTCTTTCCTTCAGACTTGGCTGGTGGGGAAAGGCATTGGGTGGGTTGGCACCTGGGTGGCATCATGGAAATGCTATCTGGGAGCCATGTGAGGGGAGGGCCAGGGCATGTCAGTGGGAAAGCCGGGGAGGGTTGTGTGTCGAGCTGCTAGCTGTGTGGCTGCGTAGGCAGAGACTTGTATTTGATGGACACTATCTTAATAAAGGAGACAAGACAGCATGTTCTCACTGGGTCTCTGACCATCTCAGAAAGTAAAGTGCCACAAATGTGGAGGGAAACATGTAGTGGAAAATCAGTCACAAGGAAGCAGGTAAGCTGTGGGCAGTCTCTGCAGCGTCAGTGTGCCTGTTGGGCAGAGGGGGCCTCACTCCCCTGCCACACAGCCAGCGTGTGCTCTCCTACCTGCTGTGGAAGCACCCATTTACTAAGAGTCTGGAGTTTTCAGCATCACTGCCACTTTATTATTAAGTGGTACTTTATTGGCTAATTTGGGGTGCTTTCTTATGAGTAAAACTACATTTGAAACAAATACAGTACCCAGCCAGGGGTTCTTAGGGTTCAAAGTATAATGGTCTATGTGTGACTCTAAAGCTGATAGATCTTCTCGCTAAGAACATTGATATATACACAATTTGCAAGTAATTTCAGGGGCTTCACGGACTTCTTGAGCATCCCTGCAATAGATGTTGCCATTCCTGCACGCAGCTCCGCACAGCATGAGGAGAGCGTGCACTGGGAGCAAAGAGCTGGTGAGCAGGAGGGGGCAGCCACCCCTGCTTCATGACCTGTGTCTAACGAATCTGCCACTGAGCAGGGCCAGGCCTGCCGTTGCTCCCACCCCTTCACCCTGCGTCTTGGGCAGCCGTCCCCGCAGCCTCTGCTCACTGGAAGTCTGCCGCTCCTCAGAAGTCCAAAGCAAAGGCCCCTCCTCTGTGATGGCACTTGGAGAGGGGAGGTGGCCAAGGTCTAGAGTGTGTGTCCCCCAGCGCCCTGCACCTGTGCACAGCTGGAGAGAGCACTGCTGAGCCCAGAAGGTACTGGCCACGCCCAGGCCCTCAGCAGGGAGGTAGAGTGGGACACTAGGTTTTAACACTAACAAAAATTAATTTGAACCACATTTATTGGAACAAATTTCTAACAATTTACATTGAAATATTTTCTTGTGGTTTGAAAAAAACCTCATAAACTCTAAGCACAAACTACAGCTGTGTGGTCTGTTTACTTCCCGTGCACATAGCGGTCTGCACTTCGGCTTGTAGTATAGCAGATTGGCACCCAGAGCTCGCCCTTCCTCAGGGGGAGCAACTGAATTTCTAGGTAACATGAATTAAAAGAAGATAAAATCTTTCAAAATACATTGCTGAGATGACATGAAAGACAAGAAGTTTTAGGTATGAAAAGCAAATTGAAAGCTGGAATCCTGAGAAATTCATGTGCTCAAGAACCAACATTCACTCCAAGGATTTCTTCTAATCCTGGGAGATAGGAGGTACAGCCTATGTCCAGCCCACGGCTGGGACCACAGGTGGTTGCCACCTTAGTGGACAGATACAGGAGGGAGCCCCGCACTGGAGGGACAGCAAGGACACATGCCCTCTGATCCAGGTTGGTGGGGACAGGAAGTGCAGCCTCCCAGAGGCTTTGTGACTAAATGGCCGTGTAGATTTGTGGTCCAGACAGATGCTGTTGCTGCGGTATGATGGGCTCAGGCCTGGAAGTTGCTTTACAGGGAGCCCTGGTCACCAGTAAAGTCAGGCAACACTCAGACCACCTCTGGAGAGCTTGATACCTTCTCACGTGACCATAGTATCGTCACACCCACAGAAAGTAACGGTGATGTCTTACCATCTGCTAACACCCAGTCCATATAAAAATGTCTCAGTTATCTCAGAAATCTCTTTATGGTTGGAATCAGACCCCATAAGGTTCTCAGATTTATACTGACATCCTTTTCAGCCTGCTGGGTGATCTGTGCAGTGGAAAGATTTGACCAAGCCAGGTGCAGGTAAACTGGAAGTCAGTGTCTCAGGGCAGAAGTTAGTGGTTATCAACGTGTTTGGACCTGGGGCCCTTTGAATTTAAAAACTGAAGACCCCGTAGAGCTTTTGCTTATATGGATTTTATCTATCAGTATTTACCATATTGAAATTAAAACGGAGAAATCTAAAAATGTTACGTTTATCCTGGAGACAGGAGTGGCAGTCAGCATGGGTTGTATTAACTAGCTGATGAATCCAGCTCATCTGTTCAGAGTCTGACCTGGGAACTCTGGTGTTACAGGGGATGGCTGAGGTTATGTTTCCTAGTGAGCATAGGAAAAAATATCAAACCCATGGCTTCACAGCTTAGGAATGTTGAGGAAGAAGCTCAAGTACAATAAAAGACAATTGAAAGAAAAGTTCAGCAAGTCACAGTTACAGATGACATGTCATGGCAGGAGATGAGGACCGTGGTGATGAGGTGGCTCGCTGAGGTCTGGGAAGCAGCACTACTCTAACACTGGAGTGGTTGTTGACTGTGTAAAACCCCCCGTCCCTATCTGAGCTGTGTGTATACTGTGGTACTGTGTTTTTCCTAGTCTAATGAAGTGTTGAACTCAAAGGGGTTCATTCTTTCTGGCGATGGGTTGTGGATGGATATGGTAGCTGTTTCAGTGGCCCTAGGCTTCCATCTGGAGGCTCCCTGGAAGTGCACCGTGGAAAGAGGTGGCCACTTTAACCATAGTAATGCCACACACTGTACAACAGGTTTGTAAAAGTAGGTTACCCCAGGTTGGGAAAGAAATCCATGAAAATGTTCATTGCTGTTGTGGCCTGGTGGGGTGGCATGAAGTATTTTTCCCAACTCTTCAGCTTACAAATTCTATACAGTTTTATTGGGTTTTTTTTTTTTTTCTGGGATAATTTTAAATGAGGTATATACTGTTTTTAGTGTTTCCTCTGATGGTAAGAATAACACAAGCCCATTTGGATTGTGTACTGAATTCCTAGAAAGATCTAGAAAAGAGCAGTCTTCCTAACTTTTTAATAGTCTGGCACTTGAGAACATGTCTCTCAAGCAAGCTGCTGAGAAGCAGGCGTGTCCGCTCTGCCGCCTGCTGGCTGTGCAGGTCCCAGCTGCTTAGCCTGCCTGGGCACGGCAGCATTTGCTCACAGAATTAGCTCAGGATTGCCCGTGTCGGGGCATGAGGAGCGGCCTGTGCAGAATGAATGGGCTGATAGTGCGTATGGACAGTGGGGCTGGTGCAATGTGAGCTCCCAGTAAACGTCAGGTTTTCTGCCAGTTCACTGATGACTTTGGAGAAGTTCTGGATGAGTTCTGGACACACTGCACCTGGGTGTCCCCTTGTCAAGTGGGGGATGGTCCCTCTCCCGGGTTGTTGGGAGATGTGGGGGTGGTTCCTGCTAGTGGGTGCATCTGGGAGGATACTTACCATATAAAAGGGCCCTGTGAGGGCACCCGGGCAGGCAGGGCAAGTTGTGATGCTGTCTTTCCTGTACAGGCTGTGCGAGCGGGACCCCTACCAGCTGTACCAGCGGTTGGAGCAGCAAGCCAGAGAGTATGTGCTGGAGATGAAGGTTCGCCTCCTGCGGCAGTTGTCGGCTGCGTCCAAAGTGCGAACGCCGGCCGCTCTGCAGGGCCCTCCGCAGGCACACCAGTTCATCTCGCTCCTCCTTGAGGAGTACGGTGCCCTGTGCCAGGCAGCCCGCACCATCAGCACCTTCCTGGGCACTCTGGTGAGACAGCGGGCAGCCTTCCTTGGGCTTTGTGGAGCCCCACATGGTGGGTGCAGGTGGGACCTGGCACAGACCCGCCTGTCCTCGGGGTGTTGGGGCAGTGGAGGGACCCAGTTCCTCCTTGTCTTTCCTTCAGACTTGGCTGGTGGGGAAAGGCATTGGGTGGGTTGGCACCTGGGTGGCATCATGGAAATGCTATCTGGGAGCCATGTGAGGGGAGGGCCAGGGCATATCAGTGGGAAAGCCGGGGAGGGTTGTGTGTCGAGCTGCTAGCTGTGTGGCTGCGTAGGCAGAGACTTGTATTTGATGGACACTATCTTAATAAAGGAGACAAGACAGCATGTTCTCACTGGGTCTCTGACCATCTCAGAAAGTAAAGTGCCACAAATGTGGAGGGAAACATGTAGTGGAAAATCAGTCACAAGGAAACAGGTAAGCTGTGGGCAATCTCTGCAGCATCAGTGTGCCTGTTGGGCAGAGGGGGCCTCACTCCCCTGCCACACAGCCAGCGTGTGCTCTCCTACCTGCTGTGGAAGCACCCATTTACTAAGAGTCTGGAGTTTTCAGCATCACTGCCACTTTATTATTAAGTGGTACTTTATTGGCTAATTTGGGGTGCTTTCTTACGAGTAAAACTACATTTGAAACAAATACAGTACCCAGCCAGGGGTTCTTAGGGTTCAAAGTATAATGGTCTATGTGTGACTCTAAAGCTGATAGATCTTCTCGCTAAGAACATTGATATATACACAATTTGAAAGTAATTTCAGGGGCTTCACGGACTTCTTGAGCATCCCTGCAATAGATGTTGCCATTCCTGCACGCGGCTCCGCACAGCATGAGGAGAGCGTGCACTGGGAGCAAAGAGCTGGTGAGCAGGAGGGGGCAGCCACCCCTGCTTCATGACCTGTGTCTAACGAATCTGCCACCGAGCAGGGCCAGGCCTGCCGTTGCTCCCACCCCTTCACCCTGCGTCTTGGGCAGCCGTCCCCGCAGCCTCTGCTCACTGGAAGTCTGCCGCTCCTCAGAAGTCCAAAGCAAAGGCCCCTCCTCTGTGATGGCACTTGGAGAGGGGAGGTGGCCAAGGTCTAGAGTGTGTGTCCCCCAGCGCCCTGCACCTGTGCACAGCTGGAGAGAGCACTGCTGAGCCCAGAAGGTACTGGCCACGCCCAGGCCCTCAGCAGGGAGGTAGAGTGGGACACTAGGTTTTAACACTAACAAAAATTAATTTGAACCACATTTATTGGAACAAATTTCTAACAATTTACATTGAAATATTTTCTTGTGGTTTGAAAAAAACCTCATAAACTCTAAGCACAAACTACAGCTGTGTGGTCTGTTTACTTCCCGTGCACATAGCGGTCTGCACTTCGGCTTGTAGTATAGCAGATTGGCACCCAGAGCTCGCCCTTCCTCAGGGGGAGCAACTGAATTTCTAGGTAACATGAATTAAAAGAAGATAAAATCTTTCAAAATACATTGCTGAGATGACATGAAAGACAAGAAGTTTTAGGTATGAAAAGCAAATTGAAAGCTGGAATCCTGAGAAATTCATGTGCTCAAGAACCAACATTCACTCCAAGGATTTCTTCTAATCCTGGGAGATAGGAGGTACAGCCTATGTCCAGCCCACGGCTGGGACCACAGGTGGTTGCCACCTTAGTGGACAGATACAGGAGGGAGCCCCGCACTGGAGGGACAGCAAGGACACATGCCCTCTGATCCAGGTTGGTGGGGACAGGAAGTGCAGCCTCCCAGAGGCTTTGTGACTAAATGGCCGTGTAGATTTGTGGTCCAGACAGATGCTGTTGCTGCGGTATGATGGGCTCAGGCCTGGAAGTTGCTTTACAGGGAGCCCTGGTCACCAGTAAAGTCAGGCAACACTCAGACCACCTCTGGAGAGCTTGATACCTTCTCACGTGACCATAGTATCGTCACACCCACAGAAAGTAACGGTGATGTCTTACCATCTGCTAACACCCAGTCCATATAAAAATGTCTCAGTTATCTCAGAAATCTCTTTATGGTTGGAATCAGACCCCATAAGGTTCTCAGATTTATACTGACATCCTTTTCAGCCTGCTGGGTGATCTGTGCAGTGGAAAGATTTGACCAAGCCAGGTGCAGGTAAACTGGAAGTCAGTGTCTCAGGGCAGAAGTTAGTGGTTATCAACGTGTTTGGACCTGGGGCCCTTTGAATTTAAAAACTGAAGACCCCGTAGAGCTTTTGCTTATATGGATTTTATCTATCAGTATTTACCATATTGAAATTAAAACGGAGAAATCTAAAAATGTTAGGTCACTTTACAAATATTGAGGCCATTAAAATAGAATAAGCATATTTTTAAATAAAAAATAACTATTTTCCTAAACAAAACATGTAGTATGAAGAAGGGCATCGTTTACATTTATACCCATCTCTTTCGTGTCTGGCTTAATAGAGGATACCTGGGTTCTCATACAGCTTCTGTGCTCAGACAGTAATTGTAGGTTGTCTTGGTTAAAGTTAATGAAGAAAATTTTGGCCTCAAACATGTATCTGGAAAAGGGAGGAATATGTAACAGCCTCTTCAGATATCGTGGGTGCTACCTGTGAGCACACCAGAGCCAGTGGGCTGCTTAGCAGTCAGCTGCAGTGAAGGATCTGAAACATCTCACTGACTGTCGGCCCGTGGATGCAGCGCGAGCTCGGAGGGGTCCACTGGTGCGTGCTTGGTCGTTGGGAAATGCTGGTCCCTGAGGGAGCTATGCAGCTCTTCCTGAGGGCACTCCATGGGCCACAGCACGCGAGGGCCTGTGCTACGTCCCCGCTGATCTTTGTCAGCAAGGCTTTAAATGTGGAGAGGCCTGAGGGCCACAGTGGCAAATGCACATTTTCCTAATGTTTGCACAAAACCTCAGATTTATGATTGGCTACAAATAGGGTCAGTTGTTCCCTTGAAGCAGCAAGCCTGCCGCTGTGCGAGTGCTGCCAGCCAATTCCCTGCGGACTCCACTGGCTTCCTGGAAGCACATGCCTGGCTCCCCTGATCTGCAGAACCCATGGAATACATCTGGGGGTGGAAACGTATCTTCAAAAAAAATGTGACTTGCCTGGGAAATGCACTTCAGGAGTTAATTCCACACTGCCTGGGGAATCAAACAGGACAATAGGGTTACATTTTTTTCTATCTATTTTAAATATTAAAATAATTTTAAGTCAGGACCGAAGTTATGCCTCCAGTCATCTAGGAAATGTCTTACCAGGCTGTAATAACCATGAAATCTGGATTCCCATCCGCAAGGACAGAAGATAATCTTGGCTATCCTGCTGTTTCCCAAGGTCTGCTGTGAGACTTGATTCTAAGCCCCTCCTCTTCCTTCTCCCAGAACCCCCCAAAAAAACCTTTTTGCAGTTGACTAATTTTGGTAGAAAAGCCTGAGCTTGAGTCCTTGCGAGTTTTTCTGGGTGCCTCTGGTCCAGGCAGCGCTGAGTCTCTGCTGCCCTCACACAGCAGAGACAGCTGGTTCCCACAGGCCCTGGGCAAGGAGCTCGGCCTCTGAGGCTGTTTCTGGCCCTTGGGGTTATCGCAGGTGCTACTGAGCTCATGCAGGAAGCACTCCATGATGAGCGCACGTTGTCACCCAGGCTGACTTCAGGTTCTAAAATTAGTCTGGGGTCTGCTGATCTTCTTGCATGCTTCGCCTCAAAGGATAATTTCCAATTTCACAAAAAATGCCGATCATCGCCATGAACCCATCTTAGCCCAGTTGACTTTAGTTAACATGAACCCACAAAACCGGAGCTGTGACCTCCTGCGTGTACTGTAGCATGGTGCCTGGGGCTGCATAAGGGGTGGTAGGTGGGGAGCACTGACCCTATCCTGAAGGCTTATGGGGGAGGCCAGGCCAGACCTCGGCTCCCTGGACACTTCCGTGGACCATCTTTCAGCCAGCCAAGGGCCTACTCCAGCAGCTGTGTTGGCTCTTGCATGTTTTTTCTTACAGGAACAAATCATAAATTGGACCATTGCCTACTCTGTCTCCTGGGATGCAGGGAGCGACTGTGTCTGTCTTTGTGTCCCTGCACCTGGCACAATGCCTGTGCAGAGTAGTCTCTGAAGTCTGCTACGTGTCCTTTGGATACTATCTGTGGTCATCTTCCTTATTGCAAGCATTCTGGGATAATGGCTTCTAATTCCAGTGCTCAGACTGAGTTTATTGGTTCCCTGACCCTGGTCATCTGCCTTCCCAGTTTTCCAGTATTGAGTAACAGCCCTGAGATGGAAGCTGGGTGTGAAATGGGAGGGAGGAAGTTCAGACCTGGGAGGTGCTGGTGTTCTGGTAAAACCGTGAGAGCAAGCCATGAGCCATTGACAGGACTGAACGTTTGAGGCTGTCTGCAGATGTTGCACCTTCCTGGCCACATCTCTGACTCCATGTTTCTGGGATATGGAAGGGGGACTGTAATGAGCAGAGCTGGCACATGCACATGGCATAGCAGTGTCACTCTGTCCCACACAGGTTTGTGCTCAGGAATGGGAATCAGTCATTTTAACTGGTTCTCTCAGCCCCGGTGTCAGTCAGTCATCAGGTGATAGCAATGGAATCTTCATGTGTTGGCTGTTGACTTAACACCTCAAGGTGTGATCATTTCAACTCATTTTGGCCAAATCGTAAACAGGAACAGACCCCTAAGTGCAGTCACGGTGGTAATCCAATTCAGAGGAGGCCCACAGTTTTGGTGCATAATGACACTCAGTTTCCAGAGTGGTCAGTCGTTTAGACAAGGGGCATTTACCCAGGGACCCAAGATGATTCTAATGTAAGTAGTGTGCGTGCACCTTACACTACAGATGGAAGCATGGATTCATGCATGTATGGTAGTATCATGACCTGTTCAGCGTGAACACTGCATTCAGAAAAGGTGATGACACCGCCTGTCCCAGGCACCTTGTGTTGAGGACAAGTGGATGTCTTGTGATGGCCAGGACACTCCCAAATGATTGCAGCGATGGAGGAGTTTGCCTGTGTTTGTTAGGGAAACAGAAGACCTGGCTTCCGTGGAGTGTCAGTAGTGTCCCATCTGTTAGAGGGAGATTTCTCAAGATGGGCAAGAAAATAGCTGTCTTGTGGCATCGGAGAATGTGTATTCATTTAAGTTGTTTGAACTGGAGGCTTTTGATAGATATATTTTAAAAGCATAATTGCAAAGAAATCACCATGGCATATGTGCAATTTTTTCTCTTCTTTCTCTGTCCTTTCTTCATCTGTGTGTTTGTTTTGTGTGAGTTACCTAGAAGGGGGGCAAGGTGAGGTCCCATTGGCGTGGTCAGGGGCCGCAATGCGCATGGACACATGGACTGGGAGAACGCCTGGCAGCAGAATGCTTTGGGCCGTGTAGAGGGATGTGGGGTGGGGGTTCCTTCTGGGAATCGTTTGGTTGTCTTCAATTCAGCATGTCTTCTGTTTGTTTTGTAACTAGGAAAACGAACACTTGACAAAGTTCCAGGTGACATGGGAGCTGCATAATAAACACCTATTTGAAAACCTGGTCTTTTCGGAGCCTCTTCTCCAGAGCAACTTGCCAGCACTGGTGTCACAGATCAGGTATTTGGTGTGGCTGTGTGGCCCCCTTCCTGTGGTGTGGCACGTGAGTGGCTGGACACTGCTTTGCTAGGGAAGCTCTTGCCCAAAACCACAGGCCCAGGGAAAAATACAACTGGGCAGAAAGCTCAGAACCCAAAGAGTAACATGATTAAACTTTAACAGACCCAGTACCGATGCTGCAAAGACTCACTAGCACAAGCTCCTCATAAATACAGAGAAGATCTGGGAAGCATAGTGTTTAACTCACTAAGACTCAGGCCTGGCCAGGTGGCTGTGTTACGGCGCTCTGGTGAGCAGGGGAGACAGGAAGACGGGGTGGGTGGAGGGAGCAGGGCTTGAGCATGGGTCTGGTGCTGCCAAGGGGTTCCGAGGCTCTGGGGTGGGGGTCACACATACCTTGCCCCACAGACGTTCCCTCCCCATCTTTGTTCACGACTTGGGCTCTTACTGGTGTACACGTCCTGTGGGCACCCTTGTGTGAGCAAGCCGGGAGCACCAAGTACAGCACTTGGGGACACGGTCAGAGAGAGGACCACTCCCTGGCACTTGCTGTCATGCTGCACTGCTGGGCTGGCCCAGCACACCCTTCCGCGGGTGGTGATTCCGTTCCTGTCCACCTGGTGCACGCAAACAGGTGCCCCTACTGTGGAGGCATTGCAACAGCTGACTGTAGGCATCCGTGTGTTACAGCCCTTACTGAAACATGTTTGGGCCAGATTCACAAAGAAGGGGAATCATTTTTAATGAAATAAATTATTATTTTATGTGAATTCTCAACCATTCACTTTTTTTCCTCTTAAAACCCACATATTGACTCAGTTTTGCTTCCTATATTCGTAAGTCCTGCTTGAGGGGACCTAACTGTTCCCATTTCATACCCTCACCTGCAGAGAAAGAATAACCTTAAAAGCAGTTAGGTAAAGGGGGTCAGGGACAAAGAGACCAGAACCAGGGTCTGTGCGGGTGTGGCCTGTGCTCCGGTGGGTTCCTGACTCTGCCGGAGACCTCGTCACCATAACCTGCCTTCTCCCTGCCCCTCCCCTTCCGTGTCCACCCTCAGAGTGTCCATGGTGGGTGCATGGAGATCTTTGTGTCCCAACTTCAACCATCCCAGAAGAAAACCAGTCAGGAGGGTATTTCACACTCATCAGTTTGAAATGCGTGACATGTTCTTGTCCCTAGTTAAATGTTCAGATCTACCAGAGACTTCTGTAAGAAGGCATGCGTCTTGAGGGGAGGGGTTCTTAACAGCAAGTTTCCAGGGTATTTAAGCCTTGTGTTTTCTGGTTTGGTGAGCCAGTGAGTTTAGTGGGCCTGTCACCCACTGTGGCTGGGTGGTAGAAACCCAAAGTGTGTCATAAAGCTGTTTTTCTGTGTCCTGGATAGTTCGTCACTCACTGAAGATGACAGACCGCAAAGGTGGGCAGTGTTGCAGGCTTGACTGTTACGTCTGGGGGCAAGCTGCAGTGTTGTTCTCAAGAGCAGCTGAGGGGGGCACATAGAGACGGTGGAAGCCAAGGAGAAGGCAAACAGAACATGCCCTGGGGAGCTCGTGCCCCCAGAAGGGGTGGGTCCTTGGTTCCCTAGCACATCCCCTTGTCAGCCTCAGTAAGTAATTGTGATTTGAGCTTCTCAGGTACGGATGACCATTTTACCACTCGTATTTTTTGCTGAAAGTTACATACAAATATTGTGCCCTAAAGTAGTGACTGCATCAGTAAGACATAAAACCATAGTTGTATTTTAATGTTGACACTATATCGCTGGGCCTGTATTTAACTTCATTATAAAGCAAAACATAGACACAGAAAACTACATAAGGAAATGTATAGCTTAATTAATAGCAGATGAACATCCCATAGCTGCCACCCAGGGCAGCCCCCTGGAGCGAGGCCCTCTGTGTGCCCCGTCCAGGCACAGATGCCGCCCCGGAGCCGGCCCGGGAGTCACACCCTCACCCATCTCTTCATTCTCTCATTTCCCTAGTGGGCATTTCCGGTGTCTTGCTTGGTTTGTTTCTGGATGTGTCTCTTGTTAATTTTAACACAGTCATCTACCCGAAAGTTGACCCATTTGAAGGAACTAAGTTCAAGAAAGTTATTTCTCTCCTTCTTAACCACTAAACTGAGAGCTCACATACAGTATGATCTGCTCATTTAAAGTGGACGATTCAACGGCTATTAGTATATTACATTATTAGTTTTGGAACTTGGGTTAATATATATTTAACATAAACCTCACCAATCTCACAGTCTTTAAGTGCACAATTCCATAGCGTTAATTACATTCACAGTGTCGGACAACTATCTTGAGGTTCTGCAGCCTGCAGGAGCCCCGCCCCACCTCATTTTCCCTTATGGTTTGGCTTCGGAGAACCTGTGCTGTTGCTCCTGTCTGGCTCTGTGGCGCGCACGTTTCGCAGGGCACCCAGTAGGCTTCGTGTCTGTCCTGCCTGAGAGCCTGTAGCGGGTCCCGAGCTGCATCGGATTCAGCTTCCATCCCTGTGCAACATGAGCCTCCTTATGTCTGCTGCTTGTTGTGGGTTTTAGTGGCTATAGCCCAATTTGGTCTGTATATAATATTAATATTTAAGGACAGTTTTAATTAGGCCTGTAAATTACGTACTGATCTCATTTCATTCTTGTCACTTACTGTCTCACATGTCATTTGTGGTAGGCGGCACCAGGAGCATCTTCCCATGGTGCTGCCGTGTGCAGACTGAACATTTAGATAGTAACCTGTTTGCTGAACCATGGATGCCATTGGGTTCTGAGGACATTCCCTCAGATCTCATAGTTTCTCTTTCCTCCTGGAGTCCAGCTCAGCTTCGCTTGAACGTAAGCCCTGTGCCTACAGATTGGGCTCCAATTTCCCCACCAAAGGCGTCCCTGGACCCCTGACTGCTGTGCCGTCACTTGGCTCAAAATCAGAGCTGCCACTCTGCCACAGTAGAGGAGGAGAGCAGTTCTCGCTTCCAGTAGGAGAGGGGAGAGAAGGGGGTGCCGGTGTCGGGCTGCCTTGGCATCCCACTGTTCTGGGAATACAAAAGGGACAGGGTGGTGTCACACAGAAGGTGGTTCGTGCGTGAAGAGCGGACATCAGTCTGTGACAACCAAGGTTGCAGAAGCGGGAGTAGAAAGAGAACTTCTGCTCTGTGGGCTGCTGTGCGGCCAGAGGGAGGACTATGTCCTCAGGCCTGGGCCCGCCAGGCGTCAGGCAGTGCCCAGAGGACCCTCAAGCAGTCACTGGATTCTGCGTCGTTTTGTTTCCTGAGGCGCAGAAACAGCCTTAATGTTTAACAGAGCCTCAGTCGCTGCGTGTGGGTGTCTGTGTCAGCTTCTCCGCTTTTTGTGGCTTTCCTCAGAGTTTTGGTCACACCTGTTCTGCCTGCTCCCTCTGCAGAGTGAGCCTCATAGGACACGTGTACGGATAGCGTCAGCAGTAGTGCACTCGCTTGCAGTGTCTCCGCCTTCACACCGTAGTCCGGGCGGGATTCCCCCGGGGGTGGAGACAGCTAAGAGAACAGCAGCCATCTCCCCAGTGACAGGTTCTAATTGCAAAATCGCTTTATTGTTTATTTTTAAGTCACTAGATTATCTTTGCAATAAAATTCTGAAAATAGAGAAAATCATGAAGACAGGTAGGTCTTCCAAACAATTTGGCCCTTCCGCTAGACTTTCCCTATGTCATCCCCACACAGACACATTTTTAAACATGTTGCCTTAGTCATGTGTTTACTTATTAACATGTTGCATTTCAAAACATACATATGCATGTGTACATGAATGCGTAGGTGTGACCATAAAGCTTGTAAGAATGGCCGGCCGGCCCGAGTGCCTGCCCTGGGTGCCAGGTGTGTCTGCTGACCCAGGGGCCACAGCATTGATGGTGGCTGTGGCCTGCACATCACCCCCTGTGATGGTAAATGTCACCATTGGTTTTGAGATTCCTCGTCAGAGTATCTTTATTATAGTTATTTTGGATTCAAACCATGATCCGTGCAGGTGCTAAGAAGCCACACACACACTTTCTCTGCTCTCCCTGGCCCCCCTCTTGCCACATGGCCTCTTCTGCAGAAATTCAGGTGTTTTTTTCTTAGTGTTTACCTACATGTGTGTCTTTTGTTTTCTGTTTATTTTCTCACTTGCCATCTCACCATCTTAAAAAGAAATATTATAGAATAAATATAACTAATATTTCTTGGATTGAACCAAATTTCTTTTAATCTGAAAACAAGATCCAAATATTTTATTTCTCATTAAATATTTTGTTTTCTCTGGGTCAGTGTCTTTCAGTAGGGAAAAATAGTTCACAGCCCTACATTTAGTCAACTGAGACATGAGGACTTAGTCTTTTTAGAACAGTGGTGCTGGCTAATCTTATTTCTTAGGAGCTGTTAATTCTTCAAGCTTCTCCTTTATGCCATATTCTGTTCTGGGCACCTTGTGTATGTACTGACTAACCTTTCACAGCACCCTTGTATGGTGTGTGGTGGTGTCCCACTGGGAGCATTGGGAGGGGAGGTGATAAGCAGAAGCACATCTGGGGTCTCTGGCGCAGAGCCCTTGGGCAGCTGTCCCCTATTGAAAGGCCTCTCTCCCTAGGCTGGGGACCACGACACATGACACCTGTCATGAGGATGCATACAGTGTCTTGCTGCAGCGATACCAGAGCTCTGAGGAGGAGCTACGCAGGGTCGCTGAGGAGTGGCTGGAGTGCCAGAAGAGGATTGATGCCTACGTGGATGAGCAGGTGGGTGTACAGCGTGGGAGTCATGCACTGAGGGGAAAGGGGTCAGGTGCCTGAGAGCCAGGGGCACCATGGCTGGCCCTCACCCAGCCATGCTTACTGGGTGGTGGTCAGTTTGTCAGGTCAGCCTTGGCTAGGTCGCTTCCACCGTAGTTTGCACCGGCTGCCACCCAGGCTCTGAGGCTCAGTGTCCCCTGCAGGAGCCTCTGGGGCCTGGGAGCTGCTGAACCTTGTGATCACAGGAACCATTTACTAAAAACTCATTCAGAGCCTGGGTGCACACACATGAATGTGCCCTGCAGAGCCCATCCTCTGTCCACCCCTGACTGGTGGAAAGGGAGCACAGATGGCTGTGTTTGGCAGGTGGTGTACAGGATTGGAGGACAGAAAAGGCAGGACTCCTGTTGGGGATGGGGCCGAAAGAGCAGGCGCGGCTGGCCAGCCAGAGCCCCTGCGGGATGTGGAGCACAGCTTCCAGCTCACACCCTGGCCTGGCCGTCCCAGCCCGCTCACCTTCCTGAAGCCCCTGGAGTGGCCCTGTTGAGGTGGCGGAGTAGCAAGGGAGCAACAGCAGGGCCCTGTGTTGTGCCCCAAGAACCATGCTCCAGCCCAGTGTCTGCTGGGGTCCTTCCTGCCACCTGACCACAGGCTGAGATGCCCAGTCTCAGCAATACTGGCTGAGCTCAGTGAAAGATTGGGAAGAAGGGACTGGTGTGAGCTTGAACTTGGGGCTCCCCATGACACTGTGTCACGGTCGTTGAAGTCTCATGACGTTTTGCATGGCCGCACTCTGCAGCCACAGCATGGCAACTATAGGTGGTCTCTTGTTCAGAACTTGGGGGTGTCTCTTGCCTTATTCTTATTGCCGGCATCACCTCTAACCTTGGTCAGCTGCAGTGGAGTAAGTTCCAGCTTCGTAAATCTTCCAGGTCAGCACTGCCCAGCTTCGGCGGTGCGGTCCCTTATCCCCTGCAGTTGTGCTGGCACCTGCTGTCAGTCTCTTTCACAGTCCCTGTGCACACAGCATGGCAGGATGAGCTGGGCCTCAGGAGCCACTCTGTGCCTGTAATACGCTCCCTACTGTCCTATGGCGCTGGCTGGGGCGTGGAGAGGAGTTGTTGTTTCTGGTTTTCTTCAGAGGGAGTGTGTCCCTAATTCATGCATCTGTCAATGAAGTGAGAGACTTATTCTCCAACTGTAGCTTGTCACCAACCATTGACTCCTCAGCTTCAGCCACTGTAGGAGCAGGGCTGTTCCTGAGTTGCTTGACAGGTTTCAGTTTGGAAAATGCTGGAGCAGGGTCAGAAGCTGTGACCTCTCCCGTGGCTTTTCCTGCCTGAAGAGTAGCAGGCTGATGGGCCAGGGCAGGTCACCACCCCCAGCTACATTCACGCCTCTGCAGCCTTGAGCTGGACCTCCAACCAACAGGAGGCCTTGCACATCCGGCAGCCAGCACCCAAGTCACCTGAGCCGTCCTCCTCTCTGCTGCCTGCATGCACACCACCCAGTTTTCAGGAGTTTGCTGTTCAGGAGGCGGAGGAACCAGGAGCCAGGAGGGAAGCAGGGGGCCAGGGGCAGTGGGGACCAGCTGCAGTACCTTCTCCAGGAAACCTCCAGTGCTGAGTGGTGTGTGGAGTTGGCCATTCCTTTGGGGCTGTTGCTCACTCCATGGGAGGACCTGAGCGGCAGTCCACCTTGGGCTGTGCCCCAAATTCATTGTGAGCCTTGTTCAAGCCTCTCCCCTCTCTGGGCTTTAGTCTTATACCTGTGAAATGACAAAATCAGATTAGATGATGTTTTGGTTTCATTTAGGCCTTTTATGTTTTATAATTCTACATAAATTCTTTGTGTGTCATTACTAAAAAGAACTACGGTAAATAGTTGTTTGTGTTCTGAATTGGACTGTGGTGAGGTGGCTAATGGGTCACCTATAGAGAAGGTCCTGTGGCAGTGTCAGGTGGGGTTATTAGGGCACAAAGGTAAAGGGAGGAGTGGGGAGGGCTCTGATTGCCCAGGGTTTGGGATCTTCAGTTCTCTGTACAGAAGAGGCCTCAGGAAGCAACTGAAAGACCAGTTGCCAACTTCTCTGCCTGGCTGGCTCTTGACGTTTGGCTCCAGCCGGTGAAAGAACGCTGCCCCGGTGCTCTTGCTCTGAGGAACAGGGAATGTGTTCCTCTCTCAGGGGGAGAGGTGTGAGAAGCAGGCCTGGCCTGGCCTGGCCTTGTGGCTGGGAGGGGCCTAGAGGAAGAGCCCCTGCAGAGGCGTCCCGAGGCTGCCTGTTGGGAGGTGTGTGAGCAGTCCTGAGCACAAGAGGTGGTGACCCCTGCACAGTCCCCGTCCTGCCAGCTGGAGCTTATAGGGAAGTTGTATTGCATCAGGTCACAGAACCCCTGCCCCCATCCAGAGTGGCTGAAGGTGAGCCCCTCCCCTGACGGGACTGAAGATGAGCCCCTTCCCCTGCTCCGCAGCTGTGGACTGAAGATGAGCTCCTCCAATGGACTGAAAAGGAAGCCCCCCTGCCAGTGCACTGAAGTTGAGCCACCCTCACCCTAGAAGTGGCAGTGGAGCCTAAGGAACTTGGGGCAGCCAGTGTCCCCTGCACCATGCAGAAATCTGCTGAAAGAGACATTCATCTTGTCCCAACCAGCCCCAGTGAGTGGAGTCCGCACCCCGACTACGAGTGGGACTGCATTGCTCTGTGTGCCATTTGAAAGGATTCCTGAAGCTGTTGGAAGGAGAAGGAGCCATGTAATACGGGAGTCGAATTCCTTGCTAAAGGACATGTGCAGAGTGGAACTGACAGAAGAATTTTAGATTCAGTTGGACCAAGTGACCTATGAGTCCCTGCATCTTGGAAGTTTCATGTAAGGGGTGAATCTGCCTCTGATAGTTGGGACTTTGTGTTTGATGCTACGTACTAGTTGAGGGGTTTGCAGAGCAGCGTTGTGGGGAGACACCATCTGTGAGTGTAGGTGCAAAGGAAGGCCCGTGGGTATGTGAGCAGTGTGAGTCCTCATGTTGAGCAGGAGGCTAAGGCTAGCTGTCCCTGACTGTTGCCTGTCCCTTATCTGAGCAGAGCCCTCTGCCTGCTTTTGGCATTTCCTTCTGTAGGGATTGAAACTTAACTGGAATTGGGAATCCTGATTTGTCCCTGACTTTCCAGCATGTTTTGTCGACATAATTGCAAACTTGTAGGTGATTTCAGAGAGATGGTGTAACTGAAGTGATGAGTGAGGTGAAGAAACCAGCATGCACTGAACACTGCCAGATGTGCTAAGAAATCTGTGCCTACAGCCTCATTGCTGCTCATAGTGATCCTGTGAAATAACTGCATTAACAGCAGCTACACCCATGGCCCCTCAGCCATGGAGGCCCACTGGGATTTGGATCACTGGCCTATGCCCTGCCCTCCTGGGGACCCTGTGGGGTCTTCCTTATTTCACATTATAAGTGTAATGGCTGTAGATAGAATTGTAGCTAGAGAAATTCTGTCTTCACTTCTCTAGTTGAACTGTGACTGGACACATAAACACCCTAGGACAGCTCCTGAGATTTTGTTGTGACTGAGAAGTCCTCTGGAAATAGTAACTTCTCAATATATCTGTTGCCTGAAATCAACTATTCATTTAGGAATATAATACATAGCATTATCACTGCTATTCTGATAAAAAATAACAATACACATGTTTTCTCTAGGAAGAAAATGTAGTCTCACTTAAAAAGTAAAGCTGAAACCAAATTTATTTATTTGAAGTACATGTTCTTACAGCTATGAATGCTTACACTAAAAAGAAATATCTCAAGTCAACAGTCTCCTTTGCAATTTACAGAACTAGGAAAAAAGACAAACTAAACCCAAAGCTGTCAGAAGAGAGAAAAACAGTAAAGATTAGAGCATAGATAAACAAAATAAAGAACAGAAAAACAAACGAGAAAATCAATGGAACCAAAAAACAGTTCTTCAAGGTCAACAAAATTGACAAACTTTAGCTATCTGAGAAGAGAGGAGAAACATTCCCCAAATCAGAAATGAAGTGGGGTCATTACTACCAATTCTACAGAAATAAAGAGGATTATAAGAAAGTGATATGAATGACTATAGACCAACAAATTAGATAACCTAGGTGAAATAAATTCCTAGAAACACAAAACCCATCAGCAGTGAATCATGAAGAAATAGAAAATCTGAATAGTCCTATAAGTAGTAAAGAGATTGAATCAGTAATCAATCTCCCAACAAAGAAAAGCCCTAGCGCTGGTGGCTTCACTGGTGAATCCTACCAAACATTTAAAGAACTAATAGTAGTTCTTCTCAAACTTTTCCAAAACACTGAAGAGGAGGAAACACTTCTAACTCATTCTGTGAAGCCAGCATTGCCCGAATACTAGAGCCAGACAAGGACACCACAAGAAAACTGCAGGCCAGTATCCTTTATGAACATCAGAAATCCTCAACGAGATGCCAGCACACAGACTGCACATTAAAAGGCTTATACACTATGACCAAGTAGGATTTATTTCTGGAGTACATGATGGCTCAACATAATGGAAATTGATGAATGTTACTTGCCACATTAACAAAGAAAGAAAAAAACCCACATGATCATTTCATTGATGCAGATATTGACAAAATTCAACACCTTTTGTGATACAAACACACAGCAAACTAGGAGAAGGAAACTGTCTCCACATAATAAAACCCATATATGACAAACCCACAGCTTACATTATACCCAGTGGTAAAAGACTGAATGTTTTTCCTCTGAGATCAGGAACAAGGTGAGGATGCCCACTTTGACCATTTCTATTCCATAGTACTAGATATTCTAGCCAGAGCTCTTAGCCAAGAAAAAGAAATAAAAGGCACCCAAATTGTAAAGGAAGAAGTAAATTATCTCTGTTTCCAGTTGATACGATCTTTTATGTAGAATATCTTAAAGACTCTGCAAAAAAAAAAAAGCTGTCAGAACTAATGAATTCAGCAAAGTAGCAGGATGCAAAGTCAGCATACAAAAACAGTTGCTTTTCTACATAAAATAAACAATCTGAAAAGAAAATTACAAATGCAAATCTTTGTACAATAGCATCTAAAATTAGGAATTACTTTACTTAAGGAGGTGGAAGATTTGTACAATAAAAACTATAAAAACATTGTTAAAAGAAATTGAAGACATAAATAAATGAAAATGTACCCCATGTTCATGGATTGGAAGAAAATATTATTAAGATGTCAGTAATTACCCAAAGTGTCTAAAGATTTTTCAGTGCACCATCAAAATCCCAAAGATGCAGGGAAAATGATCCTAAAAATTATATGGAAATCTCAAGGGATCCCAGATAGCCAGAACAATCTTGAAAAAGAAGAAGCTGGAGGACCCACACTTCTGATCTCAAAACTTACTACAAAGACCAATGAGATAGAGAGCCCAGAAGTAAATCTTCACGTACAGGGCCGGATGATTTTTGACAAAGAAGCCAAGATCGTTCAATGGGGAAAGGACAGTCATTTCAACAAATGGTGCTGGAACAACTGGATGTTCATATGCTAAAGAATGATGTTGGATCCCGACCTAACCCATATATAAAAATTAACTCCATATGGGTCAAGAATGTAAATAAATGGAAGACCTAAAAACATGGTAGAACCTTGAAGTGAAGTAAGCCAAACACAAAAAGACAAATACTGTAGAATACCACTAATATGAGCCACCTAGAGTAAGCATAATCATAGAAAGTAGAATGGTCATTGCCAGGGGCTGAGAGAATGGGGATTTATCATTCAGCAGGTATAGAGGTGCAGTGTGACAAGATGAAAGGAGTTCTGGGGATGGATGGTGGTGATGGCTGTGCAACAGTGTGAGTATATTTGATACTACTGAACTTGGCCACTTAAAAGTGGTTAAATTGGTAAACTCTAAAATGGTGTTAGGTATTTTACCACAATAAGAAAAGGGAGAAGGAAAGGGATTTTCTGTCTTTTTTTCACAAAGGAAAACCATCCTGCTCACTAAAACAACCAAAAGATACATTCTTATTTTCACTCTATTATTAAGAAACCATAATGCCATTAATACAGATTAGGAAAGTTGAGCAAGTTTAGTAATATCTGGAGAGTGCCATTATGCTAGAATCCTTGGACTGGATCAGTCACTTCTCATAAGTATTGTAGAAATTATATAATAATTGAAATGTTTCAAAATGTTGAGCACCTGTAAAATAATTGAGTAGTCACAAGTAAGTACGGACGTGGGAAACAGATGACAGCTTTGAAATTATGTTTTTGTTTGCTTTTAAAATTTTTCCTTTGTTATTTGACACATACATAATAAACCTGCAGGTACCCAAAAATGTTCCAAAAAATTGATCCCGGAGGATGTGAGGAAAGGGTCAAAGGAGAATTTCTGTTAATGTGCTTGTCAGACAACTGTCCTGCACTCTGTACTGAGATAATGACTACCTTCCCTGATATATACCTCATTTAAAATCTTTTTTAAACTTGCAGTAGTAACCGTACATGTGAAAGAAAAATGTTTTTTGCAAAGTACAGACATACATAATATAAAGGGAGAATTGGCACCAATATTGAAACTTACCTTCTAAGAATATAGTACATACCTGTTTTTTTAGGCTGTTGTTTTGGTATCCTGTATTACGGTTTTATAGTTTGTACATTTCTTACCGAGTTTGTGCCTTGGTGTGCTGCAGCGTTCAGGGTCTGCTGTGAATGGCATCTCCAGTGGCGAGCACGCTGTCTAAGCAGGCTTTGCTGGTGTGCGTGGGAACGCTGAGTTATTGTGTCCAGTCATCTCACCTTACTAACTCTCATAGTTTTTGAGTTGATTGTCTTGAATTTTCTAGGAAACCATGATATCATCAACAAATAATAATAGTTTTACCCTTTCCTCATTGGAACTTGGTGACTTTAGGGTTCTGCTGGAAGCTGCAGAACATGATGAGGAAGTCTTGCCAGCAGCATTCTTATCCTTGTTCAGTTCTGACTTCAGTGGGATGTTTTTGGATGTTTCACATTAAGTCTGATACTTGCTGTCCAGACTTGTGAAACTTTTTTGCAAATTAAAGAAGTGTCTTTATTTTTCCAGTTTATTAAGGTTGTTAATTTTTGTAAAAAACAGGAATAGGTATTGAATTTGATTGTATGTCTTTTGTTAATGTATTTCTATAACAATTAAGAGATGAGGTTTCTTAGTTTTGAGACATCCTTGCGTTCCTGGGGTTAAAACCCTACCTCTAGAAGATTATGATATAATTAGCTGATCTTTTATTTAGGATTTTTATGTCTGTATTCTAAAATATTATTGAATTTTCATCTTTGAGGTCTGGTTTGTTTTGTATGAAGGTTACGCAGGTCTCATAGAATGAACTGAGAAATGTTCTGTGTTTATCAGTTTTCAGGAGTAGTTTGAGTTTTCTGTACCATAAGAGATTTGATAGCACCCACCGTAAAGTTGTGGGGCCTGCTTCATTTTTGCAGGGTCAGGGGACAAGGACTGTGGAGCTTTTATCACCTTTTCAGTTGACTTTACATTTATTTGTCTATTTTGGGTTTTCTACTTCTTGAATGAGCTTTTCAAATTGATATTTGCCTAGGAAATTATCCACATCATTTAAACAAAGGGTTAGAAGTTTGTGCTCCCAGGGCAGATGGGTAAAGCGGGGGCTGTAGAATTCTGGTCCTTCTCTGGGCCTGCGTCTCCCCGCCCACTTCAGCACCCTGCCCACTGAACAGAAACAGCCCGTCCTGCTAGGCGGCCAAGGGCAGTGTGCTTTTCGTCCCAGCTGTTACGTAGCATGCTGCTGAGATGCGAAGAGAGCCTGGTGGTTAGCTGGAATCTCAAAAGCTTTTGAGTGTGGACCCAGCTTTTCTAAAGCACTGTGAGGCATAGGAAGACAGCCCACAAGCCTCTTGCTTGGATGGAGCACTTGAGATGCGAAAAGCATGAAGTGCGGAGGTGTTTCCTCTTGTGGTTTGAAAGGTCTGTGCTCTCTCATTCCCACTGTTTCTGCTGCACCTTTTCTCCCCTTGTCCAGCTGGTTTGGAGAACTAGCTTTTGGGTTTGTTGATCAGTATGCTTTGTTTCCCCAGCTTCTGCTTTTCCCTTTAACTAAACCCTTCCTGTTAAGGCTGGTTTCTTGTTCTGCCCCTTGGCTTCTCAGTTGAGCACGTGCCCCTCGGTCTTCTGTGTCGCCCTGGATCGCTCCCTCATAAATGCACTTGAACTCTGTTTCCTTCTATATGTTGGCACATCTTACAAAATATGATTTGTGGAGCTTCCATTGCCAATTATTTCTAAACAGACTACTTTCAACTTTGATTTCTTCTTGATAGTTTGTTTTTGTCAAATGCATGAATTTTATTTTATGAAATTATTCATTCGGAGGGTTTATTGGTAGTATAGTCTTCCTGTAGGATTGACTGTACCCTCCTCCCTTTTTTTCTTCTAATAATTTGAAAGACAGCTCCCATTTCCATTGTTTTGGGGAGTACTCTTTTTTTGGGGGTTTACTCTTTTAAGTTTTTAACAATTACAAGAATACATTTATACAGACACCAAGATTCCAGATTTAAGCATCGCATTGCCTCTCCTTCCCAAGTAAGACAGTGCCTGAACCCATTCTTAGTTCCCTGTTCCCCTGTTTTGTTTTGTTTTGTTTTGTTTTGTTTTGTTTTGTTTTGTTTTGTTTTGTTTTTAGCTGTGGTGAAATATATAGTACATAAAATTTGCCATTGCATCACAATATAGGTAGGTCATGGGGCAGGCTGTGCAGCACAGAGAAGATGAGTAATGACTCTGTGGCATCTTACTGCACTGATGGACAGTGACTGTGGTGGGGGGGGTGAGGACTTGATTAAATATGGGTGAATGTTGAAACCACAGTGTTCATGTGAAACCTTCATAAGATTTTATATTAATAATAATTTAATTTTTAAAAAAATTGGCTGTAGCAGACATTTCTAAGTGCACAGGTCAAGGGCATTCAGCACATTCACACTGTTGTTGACGTCCCCACCAGCATCGTCTGGACTTTTCCATCTTCCCAAACTAGAACTCTGTCCCAATTAAAACACCAGCTCCCCGGTCCCCTTCCCTGCCCCTGCACCTGCCTCTCTGCTTCCTGCCTCTGGGGCCTCATGTGGGTGGGATTGCACAGGATTTGCCCTTTTGTATCTGATCTCTCACTCGTATCCTGTCCTCTCCTTGCCTCAGGCGGTTTTCCTCTGACCTGAGCTGTTCACATGTGGGGCCATGCTTCTTTTCTAGCACATGCAGGGGGCATAATGGGGCACTCAGCAAATGATGATTATTCATTTGCTGTAGTGACAGATTCAGCTATAATCTTAGTTTCTTTTTAATGTGAACTCTTCTCTGTTTTCATGTAAGAAAAGTACTTTGGTGATTGGGAGTAACTTGAATAAGATGCTCAGATAGAAATCAGGTAATGGATCTGTAGGGTTGCACCTTGTGGGCAGGTGATGTTTCTTGTAGATGAAGTTTCTAAAAATTTCCCCTTGAAATGTCCGTGCTGATGGCTCTTGGTGGTGCTAAGGCCTCTTGTTTTTTCTGTGCTTGTTAGATGACAGCGAGAACCAAGCAGCGCCTGCTGACAGAAGACTGGGAGCTTCTCAAACAAAGGCGAGTCACGGAAGAGCAGGTGAGGCTGCGGCGGAGGAACGCTGTGGGCTGCGGAGCAAGCGGTTTTGAGACGAGGCCACACTGCACAGCGCTCTCAGAAGAGCGTTTTTCACCTTTGGATGAACGGATCTGTTTCCTGACCTTCTGTATTCCTCCAGGAAAACCCATGTTTATTGAGTGACTGCTGTAGGCCACAGCCCCCGCTGGGTTCCCACAGTGTCCCCCTAGGTGGGTGGAGCCATCTCTGGTTTACGCTCCAGGGGGTGACGCACAGTGAGGTCACAGAGCTGGGACCCAGCCCCCTACCTCAGACTGAGCTCAGACCCCTGACAGCTGCCCCCACCCTGGCAGAGCTTGCCAGTGCCTGGCCATGGTGTGCCCAGAGCTCTTGAGTGTTTGAGAACTTGCCTCTCCCTGTTCCTGGCTATGGGCTGGCTTCTGCCCTTCCTTTGTGTTGCCAGCATCGCCCCCTCAGGCTTCCTTAGATGCCCGTGGTCCCTGGCCTTGGCCCCCATACCTGTGTTTGTGTCCTTACCCTCGTGGCCTCCTCTGGGCACTGCAGGCAGACAAGAGGCAACTGTCCTCCCAGTCCTTGCTGTGGGCCCTATTCTGGCAGATGGCCTTTCTAGCCACCACCGTTGCTCTTGCCAGAGCTGGTCTCCACGCTTTTACTCCGGAACCCAGGGGCTCGCCTGGTCGATTCAAAGTTGAGCTGTGCTTCCAGGTAGCTCCTAGACCGACCTTGCTGTGCTCCTCCCACATGCCACTGCTGCCTGGGAACTGCCTGGGCAGGCGCCCTCCATTTCTCTTGGCGGCCCTCGTGTGGGCACAGACCTGCTGCCCCCCAGACATGATGCGGAGCTGGGACCCAGCCCCCTACCTCAGACTGAGTTCAGGCCCCCTCCTGCTCTGTGCAGGGCCAGCAGGCCTTCTGGAGGCCATTGTGTGGGTGCCTAGCTCAACACTGTTCCCCCTGCCTGGATTCCCTCCCTTGCCTCTGATCAAGTTAGCAGCACTGCCTCCCCACGGGTCTTCCTCAGGCCTGGCACCCTGCCCGGCTCTTTTCTGCATCCGGAGCACCCTGGGCAGACCTCTGCCAGTGCCTCCCACATGCTGGTCTTCCCTGTCCCTTTGGTTCTTGCCTGTATCTCCTCTTCCAGCATCCAAACTCCTCGGGGGACATGATTCAGCTCTGTGCTCCTGGTACTTAGCAAGTACTGAGCACACAGCACATTTGGGGTAAAGTCTAGGTGTCTGCTGCAAGCGTGTTAGGGTGCATTTGCAAGTGAGGCAGGCTATTAGGGGTTCCTGGTCTTTGGCCTTTGTGTGGCTCAGCCATGGCTGGTATGCACTCCAGGTCTGCTGTCCCCTTTTCCTGGCCCTGTCCCACTTGAGGAAGCTGTGACCATTGTTCTCTGAATGAAAGTGACACATATTACCATAATTATTGAATAATATGAACAACATGATGGGGGATGTGTCTTCCAAATTTTACCTGTTGTTTTATGATTTCCACTAGTTAACTAATAAGAAAGCAGCCACTGGTGAGAACAACTTCACAGATGCCATGAGGCACATGCTGTCATCTCGTCTGAGCATGCCCGACTGCCCCAACTGCAACTATAGGAGAAGGTGAGCACAAGGGGCCTCCCTGACCCGAGGGCAGGTCCGGCACTGCCCTGGGAAGACACGGTCTGACCTCCTCTGGCGGCTCTCTAGGTGACTGTCCTTGATTCCCAATCAGATGCGCTTGTGATGACTGCAGCCTCTCTCACATCCTCACCTGTGGTATCATGGACCCCCCCGCCGCTGGCGACATCCACATTCACCAGCTGCCACTCCAGGCGGACTCCGCTCCTGACTATCTCTCTGAGATGCGCCCTCCTAGTGCATCATCAGCAAGCTCAGGGTCGGGCTCCAGCTCTCCCATCACAGTCCAGCAGCATCCCAGACTCCTCCTCACAGACAACGGCTCTGCACCAACTTTGTAAGTTTGACTTTGTAATAAGGTTTCAGAAACTAAGTAATCCATTAATGAGAAATACAGACTGTAATGTCTACAGAAGTATAGATACTATTATAGTGCTTTTCAAGAGAAAAGACCCTTTTTTTAAGCAACTTTTAAAACATGAAATCAGTAAGTGCAAAGTTTGACACTATTTTATTACCTAAAAAAAAAAAATGGTGAATTAATAATGGCAGTAATGAAAAACCACGTTGGAGTGCAGGGAAGCGTCTCCTTGATTCTGTCTGTGTTGGGGGTGGCCTGCCAGACGTCCATCCCACTTCATGGTCAGTCCAGCGTCCATGCTTGTTCCCTGTCTTGGTAAGAGCTCAGATGACCACTTCAGCAAGTGACTGACAGGTTCTGTGTTGCATGTCCCTGTGGCATCTGGACGTAGGTTCCGTAGGAGCAAGAAGGTGTGCTGGCTTCACCAGGTCACCGTAGTCACATGAGGGGCCCCACACTTATTGGGAATTACAACCCTGTCATTGTCCAGGCTTCCCACTCTGACTTCTGGACAGCTTGCCTGTGTTTTACTTTATTGTGTTTGAATAAACCTAGGTTTGCCATCTGTACATCACAGAGTGTGCAAGCGTCAGCGCCTGGGGAGGTGATTGACACTGGGAAGTTGCTGCCAGGATGTTGTGGCCCCATCCTGGGCTGCTGAGCCATTCTCAGATCTCTCACCACCTCTGTCCGAAGTTTTCATGCTGACTGAGGCTTCCCATCAGAGAGGGCTTTCAATTCTTAATATCACACAAAATAATTCTAAAGGGCTCTTCTCAGTGAACTGCTTCAGAGCCTTAGAAACCCTGTGCTCTCTGGGGCCCAGGGGATTGGGCAGGGTTCTCTGGCCAGCCCTGAGCTAGCTTCCGGAAACATACTGCTGGTATATGTGCAGAGCCTGATACCAGCTCATGTTGGGAAGCCCACTGTCTGGCCAGTGGGTTTATACCCTGGGCAAGTTCACTGTGGATTCCTGTGACCAAAGAAATGACAGTAGAACGTTCTTGGGGTGAAACAGTTATACCCAACTTTATTTCCACAGTGGCAGGCCAATCGCTAGAATCCCGTCCACTCAGAGCGAGTCTGCAGGCAGCAAGCCAGTCTCTGCCTCTGGGCCTCTCTATCCGCACAACCATTTCAGTCTCTGTCCTTGGTGCTGCCACCACTCCAGCATCTGCTCTGCTCTCCTGCAGCCCTGCAGCCATGCCACCGTCTTGCCCAGAGCACTGGGCAGAGCTCTTTATATAGAGTCAATAACAACGTATTGCCCACACCTGTGTAGTGAGCTAGCCAACCAGGGCCAGGTGAGAATCCTGGGCACAGGAACCTTCACTTTATCCACACCCACCCTGCTCCTGGGACATGGCTGCTGGTTGGGATGGGTCCTGGGCTATGCTGAGTGCCATAGCGGGGCTGCCGGAGTCTTGTTCCTCGGGCCGGAACTGCCCACGGCCACTCTGGGCATCTGGCCTTGAGCAGCTTGTGCTCAGCATCTTTGACACATAAACTGCTGTGATTGGAAACCTTGTGTTGCCCTAGGTCTGTTCTCTCTTGGTGGCATCACTCAGTGTTTTTGCTAGAATCACGCAGTTTTAGTCACTGTACTACAGTGCCCTCTGGGCTTGCTGGGTCCTGGGGTCACTGAGGCCCCCCCATGACCACATTGAGCAAATGGTTCACTTCACTCTGGGACCTCAATTTTCCTCACCTGTGAGTCATGATGATCATGCCTCAGGAGGGGGAATCAGAGTTGATTGAGGCCTCATGTGTTGTGGCCTCATACCAACTGACCGGGTTCACCTGGTGGGCTATTTGGTGAGCTCCAGATTATAGTACACTTTAGTTTGTTGACTTGTTTTCCTAAAAATGGAAAAGACCTGCATTTGGCAGTTCTGACCACTCTTTTCTAAAGCCAAAAGATCCCCAGTTCTTAGGGTTTTTCTTTCTTGAGCTCATTGTATACTGAGGCTAAAGATGGGCTCAAAGGTATGTTAATACAACCGTGAGGTGTCCACGTGGTCATGCCTTGAACCACTTGCACTGAGATGGAAGCTCTGTGCCAGCTCTTTCTGTGCAACAGAAAAGCATACATTTTAAGTCACCTCCACAGGCAGCAGCCTTGAAATCTGCTTCATTTTTTTAGTAAATATTTCATTTGCCCATTAGATGTCTTGCTAAAACTGATACTTAATTAAGATCATGACTGACTAGGCCAGAGCTGACCTTGTATTTAAAATTTTAAGTATTTTGTCACATGAATGCCTTTAAAGTTTTGTTCAACTGTGTCTGAAATTTTGGTGGTTATAAAAACAAACACTAAATCCTAAGGTTGTTCTCTGCACCCTTTTAATTTTAATAAAAATTGTGTCTTTCTTTTTGGAAATGGCAGAGGAAACAGTTGTACCCCAAGGCACTTCAAGTCTAGTGGAAATACCATTCAATTAGGTTAAATTTTTTGTGTTTTTTTTTCTACTTTTGAAGTTTTGTTTTCCATTCTTCCATGTAGCACAAATGTAATCTTCCAGGCATTTTCCTCTCATGCTCAGGTTACTCAGAGGTGTTAAGTGCAAGTGGTCCTAAGTGTCCCGCTCTGTATGTGAGAACAGCGTCTGTAAAGGGAACGTCTGCTCCGAGGGGGGCTCGCCCCACCCTCCCGGGTGAGCATCCTCACAGTGACCGTCTCTGCTTGTCTCAGTTGTAGTGATGATGAAGATGTTGCACCATTGTCAGCTAAATTTGCTGATATTTATCCGTTGAGTAACTACGATGATACCGAAGTGGTGGCCAACATGAATGGGATCCACAGCGAATTGAATGGTGGTGGGGAAAACATGGCTCTAAAAGATGAGGTATGGGCATGACTTTTTCATTGTGACCATAAATGGCATGAGTTGGTGGGCTAGTGTTTTAGTTCTTTATGCTCTTCTGTTTTGAACAGTGTCAGTTATACAAGGCTGTTTTTGAAGTCCCCTCAGGTAAGCAGTGCCAGTGGTAGTTCCTCAGAAGCTGAGGAGGAAGAGGCGGATGGAGAGAGCAGTGGGGAGCCACCAGGAGCCCCAGAGGGAGGCGGAGCTGTAGGAGATGGGAGCCCCAGGAGAGAGGAAAGCAGAGTGGACAGCCCGCCCCCATCTTACCCAGCTCAGCAGGTATGGGTTTATCTTTTCAAACTGTTTTGCTAAAGGTTATCTTTCTCTGTGTAAGGTTTCTCTAAACATGAGCATTACTGAATACAAAATTATGTTATTTTGAATAACTTCTGAAGATTAGAACTGGAGAGAATAAAGGCAGGCTTACAAAATAAATCAACATGACTCATAACCACATTTTAACCTTGTTTCTATTGCCTGAATCTGTAATAAACAGTCTTGACTCTGCAGTATGCCAGTGTAGCTCCAGGTATTCAGGTGGGATGTGTTTTGATTTTTCTGTATAGAAGCAAGGAGGGGAGGGTGTTTTATATATATGTGTGTATACATATATATGTGTGTATACACACATATATATAAATAAAAGAGTGTAATGTTAAAATTTCAGAAAAGGTTGGTTTTGTAGGGGAGCTTTTTCCCCTGGGGGGAAAGGTGAGGGTACCTTATCACACTATTCTTTTTTCCTTAAGAGTTTTGTAGTAGGTGCTCAAGTAGCTTTTACATGAAAGGAAGAACCAGTGGTGGTCGAGGTGTTGACTAAGTGAGTCGTTTTAATGGTGGTGTAAGTCTGTGGTTCAGACAGGAAGGGTGATGACAAAGTCATTACTTGGAGCCGGCTCACCCCCACCTCCTCCCATCTGCCCCGTGTAGCCCCTGCGGGTCACAGGGGTGCCGGTTGCCTTCTTCATTGTGTGTCTTTTCAGTGTGTGTTTATGCAAATATACGTGTTCATTCTTCCCTTTCTTATGAAAAAGGCTTATGCTCCTTGCTTTTTCTCTTGGCACTTTCTCCTGATGGACATCCTCTTTTCTGTCCAGAGCACATGTCCTCATTCTTGTCTGTGGGCCTCGGTATTCCCGCCTGTAGACGCAGCACCATTTCGTCATTTGTCTAGTCCCCTGTGGATGGGCACTCGCATTGGCTTCCCTGCGCCCCCACCCCCATCATAAAACTGTTCAATTAGTGACCTTCTACATCTGACATTTTAGAATAAGCAGACAGATCCCTCGGATTCTTCACCAGCAGTGGCTTTCCTGGGCAGGCTCCCTGGTCCCCAGAAGAGGTTGATGTCACTTACGGATTTCTGCCAGTCTGATAGACAAGAAATGGCAACCCCTTGAGGTTCTAGTTTTCACTTCATTTTTTTCTGGGCAAAATTGACCATCCCCTCATCTTTTTAAGGGCCATTCCTTTCCTTTTCTATCTTAATATTGAGTTATAAGCAGTCTTTATGTATTTATACCCTTCAACTAGTATGTGATTTACAAATATTTTCTCATGGTCTGTGACATGGCTATTAGCTTTTTTATGGTGTTTTCTGAAAAGCAAGAATTTTCCATTTTGATGCATTCTGGTTTATCAACTTTTTCTTTTATGGGTAATGCTTTTGATGTCAATTCTAAGAAAACTTTGCCTAATACAAACCCTGTTTTCTTTCAAAAGATGTATAGTTTTAGCTTTTACTTAAGTCTGTGGTTCATTTCACTCAGTTTCTGCTTATGAAGTGAGGTTAGGGTCTAAAGTCATCCTTTTTGCAATGTGAATGTACAGTTGTCCTGGCACCATTTGTTAAAAAAACTGTCTTTACACTCTTGAACTGCATTGGCCATTTGTCGAGATTCAGTAGACTATAAACGTAAGAGCCGACGTCTGCGCTCTTGTTCTGCTCATTTGATCTGTGTCCTTACGCCTGTGGTATACCTGACACTTGCTTTATAAGTTTGGAAATTGGTTAAAAGCTGCCCTCAGCATGGTGGGCCTTCTTCAAAATTGTGTAGATTGTTCAAAGTCCTTTGCATTTCCATCTAAGTTTCCGTATAAAACCTCCTTGGATTGTATACCAGCTTTTGCTGGGCTTACTATTTTATTTGTGGGATCATATAGATCAATTTGGAGAGGATAAAATCTTAACAAAATTGAATCTGTCAATCTATGAACATGCTATATCTTTCCATTTATTTAAATCACCGTTAATTTCATTCAGCAATTTTTAAGATTTCTAGTTTATGGATCTTGAATATCTTCCTTAAATTTATTCTTAAGTATTAGATATTTTTCAGCTCTATTTTAAATGTTGTTTCCTAATTTTGATTTTCAGTTGATTGTTGGTAATATATAGAAACACAATTGATTTTTTATATATTAATCCTGTATTCTGCAGCTTTGTGAAACTTGTTTATTCTAGAGGGGTTGAGTTTTCTTGGTAGATGACTTTGGATTCTTACATGCAAGATTATCTTGTCTGTGAATAAAGACAGTTTTCTCTCTCTCTATCCACTCTGGATGCTTCTAATTTCTTAACTCCTGCTTTACCAAGCTACCTGTAATCTCCAATATGACACTGAATGGAAGTGGTACATCTTTGCCTTGTTCCCTGTCTTAGGAGGGAAGCATTCAGTCTTTGAGAGTGAATATGTTAGCTCTAGGTTTTTCAGAGCTGCCTTTTTTCCAGTTGAGGAAATTCTGTTCTATTCTTAGTTTATTGAGAGTTTTATCACAAACATGTATTAGGGTATTTTTTTTGTTTCATTTTGTTTTTTAATTTCTCCCCTACTTAGTGTCAGCTTTGGGATATCTCCTTCTCTCAGCCCCAACAGCACTCCAGGTTTCTATCTGTATGGGCACTCCCCACGTTGGTGTGCCATCACTTGAAATCCATCTATGTAATGCAGAAGAGGGTCTACTCAGGGTGCTAGTTCCCAGGGCTCAGCACTGGATTTGCATCCCGGAGCAGCTTATCAGTGCCAGTGAAAGAGCGTGCCCGGTGCTGCACTCTTGTAGTCTGGGATAGAGGAACCACTTCTCTAGGACAGAGGGCAGGGTAGTAAATACACCCACAGTCCCTGACAGTCTAATTTGGGAGCAAACATTGAAAAAGCCATTATCTATGTCGAGTGGATTGTATGTTTCCTTATTATAGTTTTTTTTCTTTTTTTTTGGTATCATTAATGTACAATTACATGAGCAACATTATGGTCACTAGACTCCCCCCATCATCAAGTCCCTGCCACATACCCCATTACAGTCATTGTCCATCAGCATAGAAAGATGCTCTAGAGTCACTACTTGTCTTCTCTGTGCTACACTGCCTTCCCGGTGCCCCCCACCCCACTAAGTTATGTGTGCTAATCGTAATGCCCCTTTTCCCTTGTTCCCTCCCTTCCCACCCACCCTCCTCAGTCCCTTTCCCTTTGGTAACTATTAGTCCATTCTTGGGTTCTGTGAATCTGCTGCTGTTTTGTTCCTTCAGTTTTTGCTTTGTTGTTATATTCCACAGATGAGTGAAATCATTTGATACTTGTCTTTCTTTGCCTGGCTTATTTCACTGAGCATACTACCCACTAGCTCCATTCATTTTGTTGCAAGTGGTAGGATTTGTTTTCTTCTTATGGCTGAATAATATTCCATTGTGTATATGTACCACATCTTCTTTACCCATTCATCTACTGATGGACACTTAGGTTGCTTCCATTTCTTGGCTATTTTAAATAGTGCTGCGATAAACATAGGGGTGCATATGTCTTTTTCAAACTGGGCTGCTGCATTCTTAGGGTAAATTCCTAGGAGTGGGATTCCAGGGTCAAATGGTATTTCTATTTTTAGTTCTTTGAGGAACCTCCATACTGCTTTCCACAATGGTTGAACTAATTTACATTCCCACCAGCAGTGTAGGAGGGTTCCCCTTTCTCCACATCCTCACCAACATTTGTTGTTTGTCTTTTGGATGGTGGCCATCCTAAGTGGTGTGAGGTGATACCTCATTATGGTTTTAATTTGCATTTCTCTGATGATTAGTGATGTGGAGCATCTTTTCATGTGTCTGTTGGCCATCTGAATTTCTTCTTTGGAGAAGTGTCTCTTCAACTCCTCTGCTCATTTTTTAATTGCGCTATTTGCTTTTTGTTTGTTAAGGTGTGTGAGGTCTTTGTATATTTTGGATGTCAACCGTTTATTGGATATGTCATTTATGAATATATTCTCCCGTACTGTCAGATGCCTTTTTGTTCTATTGATGTTGTCCTTTGCTGTACAGAAGCTTTTCAGCTTGATATAGTCCGACTTGATCATTTTTGCTTTTGTTTCCCTTGCTTGAGGAGATAACGTTCATGAAGAAGTTGCTCATGTTTATGTCCAAGAGATTTTTGCCTATGTTTTTTCCTAAGAATTTTATGGTTTCATGACTTACATTCAGGTCTTTGATCATTTTCGAATTTATTTTGGTGTATGGAGTTAGACAATGACCAAATTTCACTCTGTTACATGTAGTTGTCCAGTTTTGTCAATACTAACTGTTGAAGAGGCTGTCATTTCCCCATTGTATATCCATGGACCCTTAATCGTATAATAATTGACTATATATGTTAGGGTTAATATCTGGACTCTCTATTCTGTTCCACTGGTCTGTGGGTCTGTTCTTGTGCCAGTACCAAATTGTGTTGATTACTGTGGCTTTGTAGTAGAGCTTAAAGTTGTGAAGTGAGATACCCCCCGCTTTATTCTTCCTTCTCAGGGTTGCTTTGGCTTTTCGGGTCTTTTGTGGTTCCATATGAATTTTAGAACTATTTGTTCCAGTTTGTTGAAGAATACTTTTGGTATTTTGATAGGGATTGCATTGAATCTGTATATTACTTTAGGTAGGATGACCATTTTGATGATATTAATTCTTCCTAGCTAAGAGCATGGGATGAATTTCCATTTATTGGTTTCTTCTTTAATTTCTCTTAAGAGTGTCTTGTAGTTTTCAGGGTATAGGTTTTTCACTTCCTTGGTTAGGTTTATTCCTAGGTATTTTATTCCTTTTGATGGAATTGTTTTCCTGATTTCTCTTTCTGCTAATTCATGGTTAGTGTATAGGAATGCAACATTTCTATGTATTAATTTTATATCCTGCAACTTTGCTGATTTCAGGTATTAGTTCTAATAGTTTAGGAGTGTATTCCTTAGGGTTTTTTATGTACAATATCATGTCATCTGCAAACAGTAACAGTTTAACTTCTTCC